TGCATTGCTTTCAGGCACTAAAATGACTATTCTCTATGACTTTAAAGATTTTATTTTTTTCAAGCATATACATTGTAATGAGCAACAGTACTCAAAAGACAAATTGGCTTTGAAACAATTCTGAATTATAATAATAGTGATGGTTACTGATTATTCCACTCTTTGGGGGTAACTCTGCCGACAGGAGATGGGCTCCATTTTATCCCCGTCTGTGTAGTTAAAAACACCCATGCAACAACACAGAAAGTGGTGCCACTAGCTAGTACTATGTTGCCATATTTGTCATGAAAATCTGGTGATTGTTTTATGTGACTCTGTCTTGCCATAATTTGCTGAATTCTCCAAATCTTGAGACTACTGAATGCATATCTTGCCAAGGAAAACATCATGAAGGTATGACAGGATTGCAGTTGATTGCAGTTACGGGTCTATAAACTCCTTGCAAAGAGACCTGGGAAAACAAACAAAAAAGGCAATGAAAGCTGATCTGCATTCAATTACTTGCTTTCTGAATGTTTAGCCCATATCATCATTTGGAGCAGTGGTTAGGCATGTGAGTTTTGGTATCATGATGTCTGGATTTGAATCTCAGCTTTGCTATTGTTTAGTTATATGAACTGGGTCAGTTATTTTACCTCTCTTTGCCTTAGTTTCCTCTTTGTCAAACTGAGATAATAATGTCCAACAAGAAGTTGAGTAAACATGCAATAAGTGCTAGCTTCTCTACTTTTCATAAACGTTCAATGACTTGCTATATAAATAGAATCCAACTTTAACAGGCTTAAAATAGCCATTTAAAATCATATCCAAAGTGGCCCATTATCTAATAATCTATAGTCTCATTTCTAATATATATACTCTAGACTTCAGTCAGAATTATCAGGCAATCACAAACTATGTTAACATCTTGCTTTATCTTGTTCTTGTTTAACTCCTACTTCTCTCTTCTGCTCTGTCTATACCTAAACATTTAATTTCCCCTTTTTACAAGAAAAATTCTGTTGGCATTTGAAATTTCAGCATAAAGTCACTACTCCTGTGAAGTCTTTTCCAAACATCCCTAAGCTGAATAAATCCCCTTTCTTGGGCTGCCACACTTTTTAACCCTTCTTTTGTAGCATTTGACATGAAGTATAGTCTTTTAAAAACAGCTTTTATTCTTTTAGAGTAGTTTTGGTTCATAGTAAAATCAAACTGAAAGTACAGAGATTTCCCAAATACCCTCTAACACCATATAATCACAGTCTCTTAGATATCTACATCTTCCAGTAGAAAAACATAAGTGTTGTAATTGATGAACCTACAGTAATATATCATTATCAATGAAAGTTGATAATTTACATTATGCCATATTATTGGGGCTGTATACCCTATGGGTTTTGAGAAACATATGATGACACATACAGAATAGTTTCTGTTACCTAAAAATCCCTCTGTGTTCTATTCATGCTTTGTTGTTCATTAATTCTATCAACCACTGATCTTTCCATTGACTCCATAGTTTTACCCTTTCCCAGAATGTCATATAGTTGGAATCATATATTATATAGCCTTATTAGATGTACTTCATTCACTTAGTAATATGCATTTACTTTTCTTTCCTGTCTTTTTAGGGTTTGCTAGTTCATTTCTTTTTAGTGCTGCATAATATTCCATTGGTTGGCCAGACAAAGAGGTTTTTTTATCCATATTTTTACAGAAGAAAATTTTGTTTCATACCAAGTTCAGGCAATTGTAAAAAAAAATCTAAACATCTATGTGCAGGTTTCTGTGTAGACATAAGTTTTTGATGAATTCAGGTAAATATCAAGGAGTGTGATTACTGAATCATATGGTAATAGTATGTTTCATTTTGTAAGAAACTATCAAACTGCCTTTCAAAATGTTGTGCACATATATATTTTTTTCACTTCCACCTTCAATGAATGAAAGTTCCTGTAGTTCCTTAATAGCATTTGGCATGTTAATGTTTGGGATTTTGATCATTCTAAGAGGTGTGTATATTATTTAATTTGCAGTTTCCTAACTGACATATAATGCTGAACACCTTTTCATATATTTATTTGCCACCTGTATATCCTCATTGTTGAAGTGCCTGTTTCAAATATTTTATCCATGTTTTTAATCAAATGGTTCATTTTCTTATTTTTGAATTTTAATAGTCCTTTGCATATTTTGAATAACATGCCTCTATCAGATGTGTCTTTTGAAAATATTTTCTCCTTGCCTATGTTTCACCTTGTAATTCTATTAAGGTGTTATCTTTTATTCCTTCCTGTTACATTGTAAGGTCTCTGAGAGGAAGAGAGAGACATTTTCATGAAAAGTAGATTGACACAAAAGCCTAGAGAGAACTTTTTGAACCAATTCAAAGTATAAATGAATATTGGTATCCTCATAAAAAGCCACATAAATACAAAAGTAAGTAAAAAATAACAAAATCATATGTGTGTTTTGTAATAGCTCTAATGATTTTATTTCTTTATAGTTATAATAAGAAATATAGAAGTAGAAACAGATTGAAGAATTCTCTTGATTTCCCTTTCTTTGTGAAAGCTGTCAAACTGCTCAGCCTTTAGCAATGGCATATGTTAACTGTGGCCTAAATGTAGACAACATGGATATAAAAGGGCCTGAGGTCAATATTTACAAACTTATAATTGTTCACTGAGATTTGCCAACTCAAAAGAATTTATTCCCAGCATAGAAAATAAGACCTTAAGGTTCTCTTTAATTTTGTACCATATGGTAAGTGGTACTCTTCATGATTGTGACAAACAAGGCAAGTACAGAGCCAAATTAATTTCTTCTGAAGTTCCAAATATTAAAAGATGTTTCTAATTAGTGGTGAATCTCTCCACCAAAAGGCACCAAAGTTTAAATCTGAATTTAATTCATAGTAAACTGAAAGTAAAGTAGGTCGGATTGTGACAGGTGTAGCCTTACTTCAACACAAAAGCACATATGGCACACACTACTTTTGGACTTTAGGAAGGCAGGTAACCAAAGGACCTCTAGTGGGTCATCAACTCATGACTAATGCTTTATGATACATTGATTGCATTACTTCCATCTTCACAATGTTAAGTTGAAACTCAGATACTTTCCTCTTATAACAGTGATTGCATCAGTTAGTAGTTTAGTGCATTCTTTGGTGATTCCTGTCATTATGAGGCTTTTCTTTTCTGTCCATCTTGAATTTTCTTGCAGCAGTAAGTGCCTATTGTTCAGAATTGTCCTTACAAACTCTTTCTGTAGTTTGTGGTTAGCACTTCATATTATAATAATGCGATCTTCTCATTTTTCCCTTGTTGCATCAGTTGCCTTCAGATCGAACTTATATCTATCTTTATTTATGAAACACATGTAAAATCCATTGATTGGAGGAATTTTCCATTTTGCTTAACTCCCCATGACTCTCCTTTACAATCAATGTGTGAGATCAGTGAATCCTAGCCTACTTCCCAATGAACTAAAGCTATGGGTTCCAGTAGATTCCCCTAGAGGTGTGTATGTGTTACACACACACACACACACACACACACACACACACACACACACACACAATGTATAAATACATATGCATATAAATGGGGAATTCAATAATATAATGCAGGAAAAGGAAATACTTCTCAAAGCAGATGGTTTCTGATGAGAAAAGACACAAAGAGATGGAAGAAGACAGATTTCTTTAGATAACAAAAACAAAGTAAAAATTCCTCATGCCTGTGGCAATAAAAAAATTATGTTCTGAATAAATATAAATATTTAAAGGGAGTGATGTAGCTTGTGAGGATTAAAAGGAAAAATTGTGTCATGTGTTTTATACAGGAATGTTGAAATTCAGTTCAAAAAAACAAAAAAGACCTCAGTCTAACAACAATAATAAGTACCTTAAGATTTTAAACATCAGTGGTAAAAATAATAATTTCAAATCACTGAAGACCATAAAAGTAGGTATTAATTATGTAAGAAGATCTAACACTTCTTGACTGTGCCAGGATTTTGCACATCAGTGAGTATGTGCAAATACTTATAGAAAGGTGTTTATTTTTTCCCATTTTCCACATAAGAACAAATGATAGGACAGAAGTGAACACAACCACTCTTATTTTAAATCTAATGAAATCTTATAAAATTTTCAACTTCTCAGGTCTTCTTAAATACTTATATTTAACTATAACTACTACAAAACAAGACAGAATTCAATCAAACAAAAATAAAAGTAAAATTGTGTTTATCAGACATAGCCTTTTAATTGAAATTGGGTTGCTGCAGTTTATAATGTACTCACTGAGTGACTACTGCATGTCTGGGCCAGGATTGGATGCCAGCAATATAATGTCTACCCTTAAGTAATATATGGTATACTGAGGAATAAATAGCTATATTCTAAGAAAGAAAACTGGTCCCTTTCTAGACAGAGTTTTAGATGAAATGATATGCTGGATCTTGAAAGATGTTTTAGAAATAGAAAATTTTAAAACACTGGGATAGGGGATATGACTCAGTGGTAGAGTGCTTGCTTAGTGTGCACAAAGCCCTGAGTTCAATACCCAGCATTGCAAAAACAAAGAAAACAGAAAACAATGGGGAACTTATGTAGATGAAGCAGAAAAAACATAACTACAGAAGCCTGAAATGCCATGGGGAGAGTGCAATTTGACAACCTCAATAACACCAAATAATAAGTGTTGGAGCAACAAATTTCCAACAGATAAGGTGGAGAGATGAAGAATGTACAGGTTTAATGAGGATTTTGTATGCCTTCTATGGCATTTAGACACAATTTTACTGGTTAGTGGTTACCATTATTGAAAAAAAGTTCTCAAACTTTATGTTTAAAGCATGATACAACTATAAAATTAAAATGTTTTCAAATTAAAAATGAACCAATGTATAAAACAAAGAAAATTCAGATTTGCCATATTCAGTATGACAGTTAATATTGTCCTGAAACTCTACTACTACTTGTAGAGGTGAAGTTTCCTTTATTTTCATGTGTGTGTACTATATAGGAAGTTTTGGTATGACTAGGTTCTTCTAATTTTCCTTATTTTGTTTCAGGCATTAACATATTATTTAAATATAAAAGCTGCACATATTCTTTTTGTGTTAATACAAAATGCATAATTTTATACTAATGCAAACAAAATATAAAACAAAGATGAGCAGAAGCACTATTAATCAATATGCAACATTATCAAGATCTCATTATTTTCTTATATTTTAATATTATGAAAATAAAATGCAGAATTAAAATTATTAACTTACATCAAAGACATACATCCTTTACATGAAAATTGCAGTAAATGTTTCACTAATGTTTAACTTCTTACATTTTTTGTTGTCATTCTCTCCATCAATTCTCTACCTAACAATTATCTGTATGAAGTGGTTTTTATTCCCAGACTTTTCCTCTATCTTTAAACATAAAAGAAGATAAATTTG